ATCTTTTTCTTTTTCTCACACAAAATATTTCACTAATTGGAATTGGTATATATTCAAATTAAAACATAGGCCTATTGGAAAATACAGAATTTAATATTTGAATACATGATTGTGTTGACCTAATCATGACAGTTTTTTTATAAAATGGTAAGTACTTAGTATAGTTGTAATCAACATACTGTATTTAAGTGTAAGGAATACCAAGGGTGGATTTAGGAAGGGGGTCGTTTTGAAAAAAAAAAAAAAAAAAAAAAAAAAAAATATGATCGCCCAAAACGCCTCAGGATATTTTAGAGCGTCTGGAAAACTAAAATTTCGCGGGGGCATGCCCCGGGCCCACTATGGTGGTGTTATTTTAAACGGCCCCACATTCCGACCCCTTTTGGCCCCCTTTCGGAAATCTTTGGATCTGCCCCTGAATACGAAGATACTAATGGCTATAAGTCAGTCACCTAAAAGTACACAAAAAAGGGAATTTTTATGTCAACATGCTATTTTATGTGTTATGCCTTTCACAACAGACTCACTTTCTAACAGACTCACTTATTACAGGATGATATCTATCTCCACATTTCTTAGGCTAAGTATTCGTCACATTAAGGGAAATTTGCTTTTATTATAGATTAAAATGAAGAAAATAATACAAATGGAAATATTTCTGTTAAGTATTGATAAAAAATAATCACTAATTAATGTGTGGATATAAAGCATTAAACTTGTTATACAGAAATTGGATGCTGTTTCAACGACAATATCTTGTCTCGTTTTGTCTTAGTAAGCCTAATAGCTATATAATAAAATTAATTCAACCATGTAATGTTTAATATATTTTAACATGTCAGCAAATTTTAAAATGTTTAATGAAGGCCTATGATTTTTTTTTTCTTGTCCCGTAAATTTTGTGTCGTTGTGACATTAATGTCAGAAACTCTTATCGTTAACATTTTAGCAGATTAACTTGGTGTCTTAGACTCGCATCTTGTAATCTGACTTTAAAATATAATTTATCATCCAGTACGTGGCTGGGCTTAGTTATACTTTAAGTGTTACCAGATTTATAGCGTTATGCCATGTAGTCATAGAGAATATCAATAATTTTAGCGTACTTCACTTTTTTATACATTTATTCAACAGGCCTAATATCTCATTTCATCTTCTAATAAAATACCGTAATATCTTAATTCATCAATTTCAATTCTTATTATTATCAATATTAACAATATTAATAATAATACGAATAATAAATAATATAGATGATGGTGATTATGATGATGGCGATGATGATGATGATGATGATGATGATGATGACGGCCACAACACCGATGATGATGATGACGGTGGTAATGATGATGAGACAGAGGACGATAATGTGATATGCCTAAATATGGTCATTGACATCACATAATGGCCATATATAGGCACATCATGACTATACATGTGCATACAACATTTTTTGGTCAAAGAAAATTTTTAGTTCTAGTACAGTACTGGATATACGCGTAGCACAATAATTCCGGAATCTTGCCACCAGTCACATAAATAGCTTAAGCAATTTATTCTCCAAGCCCTCCCAAGGGACCGACATCTCGACGGATTTTTATTAGTATCGTTTTATATAAATTTGCAGTATAACGCGATTGCTATCGTGTATCGTTCAATGCAATAATACGTGTTAATTCATCCCCCATTAATATGCCGAGTAGTCGTCACTGGCCTGTCTCAACCTACTACGATAGTACAGTTGTAGGTAATCGCTTTGCCTACGTGCAAATTTTATGCAAAGTTCTATCGTATAAAACGAGCACTCAGCTGTAAAGGCCAACTCAGACAGCGTCGGTCGACGCAGCCCGACCCGATTTATCGTCGGGGACAGTCTTAAGCCGTCGTGAGAAATATTAAACACGTTTAATATTCTACTACACGACTGCCCCCGACGCACACCATCGCGTCTGCGTTCAACTCACACAGACCCGACGCGACAACAAATCGCGTCGGGCTGCGTCGGCCGACGCTGTCTGAGTTGGCCTTAACACGGTGCATTTGTTAGGCCTACTAAGAATGTATATAGCATTTGAGTTTTTGGACGTTTATGTGTTCGCATAATAATTGCATGATATTAATGCATATAATTCGGACTTTAGTGGTGCATTTACATGATAAATAGATACTGCTACATACAGCACATATTGATTAGTTGAGTTTAGTAAAAGGATAATTCTACATGTAGCACATATTGATTAGGTAAATTTAGTATAAAGAAGGGAACAGAATCCCCAAACAATGCAGTTATTGTTCACCTAATCATGATAATATTATACCAATTATTTGTTTTACTGTATTTTTTTCGCATTCATCAGCAATTAACTCGCCAGTTACAGGATGCGCGATGCTTTATAAACCAAGTCTCTTTATAAAACTGAAGCCGCTCACTCACTGCAGCTCGCCCGACGGGTCGTCGGCCGACGCGAATCTATGGGGAACGCAACTCCACGACGCGCGCGCAAACGGGTCTTTTTTAATGACTATCCGTTCAGAATGCCACCAAAAATCAGCAGACGGCGTGGCGTCGTCTAGCGCTCGCAGATAGCGGAGTTGGGACCGTCGTACGACGCAGTGAGCCCCCCCCCCTCTTTAGTAAGTGGATTTTTTTTTAGTTGTGGATGAAATTCCAGCCAAGCTGTCCTAGGAATTGCACACGTGACCTAGGGATTAGAAGGTAAGCATATACTAAGCATAATACTCCACATTATTTCTTATTATCGATAGGTCTACAAGTTTTTTACATGTGAATGTTATGTTCATAAAACTTAGCTTGTAAACTTGTAACATATGACTGTCGTAGGTTTATACATGGTACACAATAAAGAACGGTTTCGTTTATTTAACGATTCAAAATGGGTTGATGCATAAAAAATATATAGGCCTATTGTAAATTTAATCAGTCGTGAAAATTAATCTCACTGTTGCCAACATCGTTTTGATAAAGAATTTATCAGCCAATACTACTGTTCCTTACTAATTGAGGAGACGAGGGAACATAACTAAAAATCTCCTAAAATACAGACTACAAAATCATCGATGTGTGACAATGTCTATTACAGTTGCTGATGAATACCAATCAGTACTATACCACGAACGCATGACAATTCCTTTCTGTGATCAATTTCTCCTTTACAATATTGAATTACAACCGAAGATGCCCGGCTTTCTCAATATATGAATATCATCTTACAATATCTCATCAGCAATTATAACCTATGAACTTTGAAGGATAATCAGAGACTTTGAATGGTTTATTAATTTTCTCTTTATAACGTTCTTAAATTGAGTCATTTCTCTCCTTCTATTCTTGTTGCTTCGAAATATCGAACTACATATGTGCAGGTATAATTAATACCCTCGTAATCAGCAGGCTACATATACTTACGAATGATTAAATAATTTACAAATGGTTTATTACAGGTAATTTTTTTTATAACATACTTAAATTCAGTCATCCTCTCCTCCTCCTCCTCTATTTTGTTTTTGTTTATCAGTACGTGGAGATATAAATACCTTCATTATCAGTAGGCCCCAATATACTTACGAATGGCTTATTAGTTTCAAAAGGTTCATTTATTTTTCTTTACAACGTTCTTAAATTGAGTCGCATCCTCCTCCATTTGTCCTGTTTTTTTTTTTCTCAGTGAGCTTACGTGAAGGTATCAACCGTTGTTTGATCTAGGCCTTTATTTTACGAGCTACATATTCGTGCTAGAGCATTTTTTTTTTTTAATTTTGCCTTTTTTATTTCGTGTATGAGTGCCAATTTAATGAATAAAACATAGGTCCATTGTATCGTGCATCTTCTTATTAATATCGTGTTATTGTTACTATTGTCAGTATTATTAGTTATTATTTTCGTTCTTACTATACCGTATATTATCTTTTTTTTTACCTTTATTATCCTTACTGTCACTGCCGCCATTGTGTTTGTGGTAGTAGTGATCGTCGTCGTCATCATCGTGGTTGTCGATGCCGTCTTCGTCGTGCGACCAAAGTCATCGTCGCCATTGTTATTGTTAACGTCATCAGAATCGTCATCATCATTGTTAAATTGTTCATTTTTGTTATTGTTTTTATTTTTTTTAAATTATTATTTTCATTGTTATTAATGATAATATTCTAAAGTAATGTAAAATGCGATGAGGTAAATTTACAGAGGACCACGTGAAATACCACTATAAATTTGGTCGCGTCGGTTATCAAAGTTTATCGACGTTCTGGACAGTAAATCATATTATAAATTATATTACAAGATGCGAGTCCAGGACACCAATTTAATCTTCTAAATTAGTTTTTGACGTTAATTTTTGTCGTCGGTGGATTATCAGAGGGCTTTGAGTGTTCATAGCTGAACGAATTATGTACGTACATGACGAATCAATAATTACAGTATAACACAAATGAGAAACTTAATCAGAAACACGACCTAAGACTTTGCGAATACACACACGTACAGCATTCGAGTGTTTCAACTTACCCTAATATCCTTCTTAGATAGCGGTTTCTGCTTTAAAATAAGTTCCACAGCCTCAACCACCTCCTCGTCAATTGCGTGCAATAAGGCATCCCCAACATGAATATTATGTCGCAGTAATAATTCAGTAACTTCTATGTTTTCATTTTGTATTGCGATCATAAGAGCTGTCCGTCCTAAAGGGTCGACACAATTTATATTGATATTGAAGTAAATCTCAGCCTCCTCGAGAAACTGTCTGACGCTGCCGAAATCTCCTCGCTCCACCGCAAGAAGGTACTGTTTCTCGGACGGTGACAGTGGCGTCTCCTTGCGCACTATGTGCAAGGGGATCCGGTCACTGCTCGAGTCCACCCGGTAGTAGGCAGGCATGGCGGCGGCGTCCGAATCAGAATCCGTCCATAACGACCTAAAACGAAAGTAAAGAGACAATCAATACTCATAATTGATAGGCCTATATTAAATTGAAATTTTGGTGATGATGGAGTACTTTAAAAATATAATATAATATAAATCATATATGATGGTAGAATAATGGATTGTTGGTGCCCAACAAAATTACTGGTATATGTGCGGTATTTCCTTTCAGGAGCATAATTATGTTGATGGCCTAAGTATAGTTTAATTTGTTAATATGTCTCCAGAATAGTCCTTCGTTATTGTGTTCTATCATTCGACATGCCTCCCACCTATTCCTGACGGGTTCCAGTCTTGTCATCTTTCTTCGTTATTGAGTTAGGCTCGGGCACAAAAGAGAAAATATCCACTCCGACATTTGCGTCAGGTCGTCTCTAATTATTCATTCACTCATCCATTTTTTGTTAGACATACAAGTAATTGGACGGTAAATCTTCATAGCAAATCTGGCTTACTGACAGAAGAATGCAGTTCTACTTCCTTAAGTTTTAGAAAAGTTAACGAGGCAAATACAATAAGATTTAGGTGGACTACAAACAGACACAAGCGAACAGCAGCCGAGACACAAACGTATATCTCCGAGTGACAGATTATTACATCAATACGGAATTACAAACGTTGACCCAGCCGTGTGAATGACAAGCGTTATAAAATACTGCCAGCATAAATTTCAGTTATTTTTGTAACTAACATGGAGTCATGGAGATAATTTATTCCTAAAACCTTGATTCCAGAAATTCCTTAATTTTTTTTCTAAACACACGAACCAAAATATCGAATACAATATTTGTTAATTATTGTTAGATATTTTCAAACAATACAGTACACGGTATTTATTTCAATGCATTAAATTATGAAAAATTTTAGCTTGAATAAAATATAGTGAACCAAAAACAAACTTTGCACACCGTACGCAATAGACCTTTCCGGAGTGCCAATCAAACTTAACAACTGACTAATCAGAACAGCGCTAGGAATACGCGCGCGTCTTACAAACACACTTGTTGTCCCACAAACGCACGTGTCCGCGTATGTTTTAACACTGCCGTCTTGTGGGACCTTAGCAACAATATCCAAGGGGCGGAGCTTAGCGGAAAGGTCCATTGGAGTCTGAATATGCTGAACTGATTTGTCAACATATCTTACTAATAAACTCAGATACTAAAACACTTGAATGACTAAACTCGTAGCTTAAACCTGGTTTCCACAAAATCGCTACACGCTATTGCTTTCGGTGACGCTGATTGGTCGGTCGAAATTAGAGCCTTCCAGATTGCGTAGGAACTGCATGCTCCGCACAGTAAACGATTGCAACACTGTAGAGAACGTGCAGCGATTTTATGGAAACCAGCCTTTAGTCTCCTACATATAGGCCTAAGAAATGTTGAAATTGCAATAGCCTATAGGCCTAATGTTTGATATAAACAGAATAATGATCGACCAAGAGAAATAAAAAGCATTGAAAGTTTATTGGTTTAAAGTACCAGTCAAATGTTAAAACGATAAAACTTTTTTTTTCAGCAAAATAAAAGCGCTCATTGAAAATTGAAAAGTGAAAAAATAAAATTATGAATAAGAATATTAGGTCAAAAAATGTAGGTCTATGTATTCGAACGGTTGCCACCTACTCATTACCAATGTTGCATTCACGCAACAGGAAATCCAATCAAAGTTACGATTTGATTCAGGCGTACGAATGGTTATCATGAGTCAGCTAAAATACTGAATTGTAAACATGAAATATTACTATGGTTATTCATTTCCATTATTATCATGAGATTACTAATAATTTTTTTCTGTAACACACTCCATCCCCAAAAGTATGCATAATAAAATTATAAATAATAATTAAAATTGTTGTTTTTTAGGCCTATGAGATTAACATTTTAAAAACCTTATGTATTCAAAAGACTACAAAAACTGCTGAGGTGTTATTTTCGCTTACTTTACCTCTAAATGCTCCGAGATTTCACTACCAAATGTAGTCTTCTTACAAAGCTGATGCTCATGTGATTGTGAGTTTCCTACCTATCATTCCCATGTAGGCCTACATACACATAGGGCCTGAGGCGGTACGGCAAGCCTGCTCATGACTGACGCAGTGCGTCCAAAACTGTAGTGGGGGACTTTTCCTGTCATTCGACCTTTTTCTATACTCTTCCTGTTATACACCTAGGCCTACACTTTTGGAGTCCTTATGAGGTCGGCTTTTACCCCCTTCACAGTGTACTTTTGTGATAATAATGAAACCGTTGACACCTTAAGGTTACTAACACAAGAATTATTGATATTATGCTAACCCATAATCAATGACACACCTATCAAGAGTGTTGCCAAAACAGATGACATACTACAAGGTTGACATAAATTATTACAAAAACCACGGAGCTATACAAACAACCGTCCGGTCCACTTAACCGTGTTTATCTATAAAACGAGTGGACATGCAGTACAAAAATCGTACACAGGCAACCTCGCGTTAATGTAATAATTATTTACGAGCTATTTGATTTATAATAATGTTTTATGACGTCATAAAGTCGGCATTCTGAGGGAAATTAAATTAAAGTTAAACAAAATCAAGAGAATCGATGTATAAATTAAAGCGGTCATGTTTTCTCTTGGGGGGATTATTTCATTAATTTCAGAAAATACATAGGTCCTAACCCTTAACAACAATTTCCCGTATTGTAATGAAAAGTTGGGCATCCAAGCCATTCTGAAATGCCTATTATTAGGCATTGTATAATTACTCAAATTTTCAAATTTGATTACATAGTCTTGCACTGCAGTGTACATCTTATACAGTATGTCCTGTAATATGGTCATACCTATGTCTCAAGTTTATATCCTAGATCATGTCATATCCTATGGAGGTTCAAAAGGCCCTTCGGACATCAGTTACATATACAGCTTATCATATTTTATGCCTTAAATTATAGTTTTATAAGGTCTGCAGATTCAAACATTTCTGGAATGTTTCAGTTTTCAGTTGATGGAATATAAATTCATACAGTAAAATTATTTTAAAAGATTGAGGTACCAGAACATACTTAAAATAAAATGTTCAAATATGATTATTAGTAGCCTATAAAACTTCAGGCTTGCTATGAATGTCAGTACAGCCTACGGCGATAGGGATAAACGGTTTTAAATTTGGTCTAGGCCTAAACATTTGCAAGCGAACGAACTGACCACAAACTTTTTAGTTTAGAATACAAGCAGTGGCGTAACAGGAGGTGGGGGGGGGAGGCAGACCTCCCCCTGGCTGTGTAAGATTTTTGTACTGCATGTCCACTCGTTTTATAGATAAACACAGTTAAGTGGACCGGACGGTTGTTTGTATAGCTCCGTGGTTTTTGTAATAATTTATGTCAACCGGGCTGGGTATTAAGAGAAAAGAAAGAGGGGAGAGGGAGGAAAAGAGAAAGAAGAGGAAAAGAAAAGGAAAGGAAAAGAAAAAGAAAAAGAGAAAAATAAAGACAAGAATAGAAAGTAAGATATCATGATGACCAGACTCACAAGACCCTGCAACCCCATAACTCCTTTGATCTAAGCTGCCAGATGGCGTAACCACCGGGGGAGAAGGGGAAAATATCTATCTTTGGAAAATCTTTCCCACCCCTTGATAAATGCCCTTTTCATCCTCTGAGTGCCTAGAAATCTCAATTTTGCGCGCTTCGCGCGCATTTCTTGTTGAAGTAGGCCAATTTCCTCTAAATATTGCACATTTTAGGGAGTTTTGATCAATTCCGACGAAATTAGAATTAAAAACACTGGGGGGCAAGGGGAAAATATCCGTATTTAGAAGATATTTCCCCACCCCTTGATAAATGCCCTTTGCATCCTCTGAAAGTGCCAAAAAATGCACATTTTTTGGGAGTTTTGATCAATTCCGACGAAATTAGAATTAAAGACACAAAAACTTTTTGCGCGCTTAGTGAGCATTTTTTAGGGTTATCCTTTTAAGTTATTTAAACACATAATAGTCCAAAACTCAAGAAAGAAAAATTTAAGATAGATTGTTTTAACCTAAAAGAAGGGCCTCAATGTGTATTGATGGTGAAAGAATATGTTTGTAATAAATAAAACCATCATGAAAATACTTATATCTAGTTTCAAACACACGTGTGTGGCCTATATTATAAATAAGATAAGCACTATGTCGTATTGTTTTCTATATAGGGAGTGGGGTGGGGTGGGTATGATAAATTACTAACCGGGAAAATTATTACCTTTGCCCCCCTTTGCCCCCCCCCCCCGACCCAAGACCCCTGTTACGCGCCTGAATACAAGGAACCGCTACTGTCCGTTTGACTCCGTTGGAGTGTTGGACAGTATCCGATCCAGATCTAGATCTGTGCGTATACCAAGCATCCCGGGCGAGAAGCAATGGTCTTGTTTCGGAGGAGGAGTCAATCCCTACTGAGAGCTGCGAACAATATGACAGCACACAGCTGCAACTTTTCATCGGTGGCTTAACGGCATAATAGGTTTGATGTCACCAGTCGCAGGGCATAATTGAACTCGACCAGGCAACTTTATCACTTTACTTCGCAGAAAACCAGACCAGACAATCATACTCCAACGCAGGACTATAAAATAGCCACGGGCTCTATATTTCTCTTTTTGGTATGACCAGATACACGTAAATCTAATTTGTCACTCCGTCATATCGACTATTATTTCGTTTGAAGCCTTTTCTTCAATATATTCTCCAAATATATGTCTTTGTTTATTTATTCATGTATTCCATTACTTTGTAATTTACTCCATTATTTATTTACTAAGCGTAGGTCCAATGGTAACGTTTTACATTAATGTGAAATCATATTTGCAGCGCTGAAAGGCCAACTCAGTCAGCGTAGTATGACGCAGCCCGACGCGATTTGTTGACGTGTCGGGTCTGTGTGAGTTTAACGCTGGCGCGATGGTCTGTGCCGGGAGACAGTCGCGTCGTAGAAACACGTTTAAGGCCTGGTTTCCATACAA